GGCAGCTCACAAAGAAGAGCTAGATGGACCTGCAACTAGAATATACAGCTATGTACTGGGGCTTTGGGGAGGAAGGAAAAAAAAGAGAGGAAGATTGGCAACAGATGTTAGCTCAGGGCAAATTTTTCCCAGAAAAAAAAAAAAATCAGCGAAATTACTTAAAAAAAACAAACCCAAAGAGAGAGGATCCTCCTCTTTGGGAATCATCATTTGCCTCCCAGGGGCCAAGTGTGGAGGGCAGCACCTCTTTGATGGACCAGGAGTCCATCTACTGACCTGTGGATCAGAGTCATCTGGTTAAATGCAGATTACTGGGCACCTTCCTGGACCTCCTGAGTTCCTGGGGATTTGGGACAGAAATCTGTATTTTTAGCAAGTGCTCACGCGATTCTGATGTACTTTGAATATGATACAAGGTCAGGCAGTGATAAGTGCTATGGAGAAAAAATAAGTTAGAGTGACAGATGGTGGAAGGCGCGCTGTGTGAATGGGTAAGTTAGTGGAGATGGCCTTAACCAGAGACCTGGGAAGCTAAGGAGTGGTCGGCCAAGCACAGATCTCACCATAGTAAGAGAGAAGAAGTAAGAGTAAATGCGAAGGACGCCCCCCCCCCCCCCCCCCAGGATGAGCTTCCAGTTTCAAGGAGAAAGAAGATCTTGCTAAAAACAGTCCAGTGATTTCCTATCAATCTTAGAATAAAATCTAAACTCCTTCTCACGCTCTATAAGACCTTCTATGATCTGGTCCCTGTCCATCGGCAAGAACTAGTCCGATGGCCACATGTGGGTGTGGGGCTGATAAGAGTCACTGGGAAACAGAACCTCTAGTTTAGCAGGCGTTTCTCAGCACTGGCTCCACACTATAGAATGGGGAGCCTTAGCCTTTGGGGGATCTGCTTTTGTAAGATCTCAGTAAGAGGAGCTGCCCTTGACAAAGGCTGTTTGAATGGGGCTGGGGAAACTTTGCTCAGAGGGATTGGTAACCTTGGGAGGGCCTCTTGTGGTTGAGCGAATAGCCTGGCAGCTGAGGGATGCGCAGGCAGGGAGAGCTTTCTTTAAAATGGGAGGCTCTGTAGCATCTTTGAATGCTGTCGGGAATGATCCAGTTTGGAGGGAGAAACTGACAACGTAAGAGAGAGGCGAGATCCAAACTTTGAGGAGAGAGAAGTGGAGGCCCTGGTGCACCCAGGAGCGGGAGGCCCTGGAACACAATAGGGTCAGTCCTCCTTTAAGAGGGAGGACAGCAAGTTCAGAGAGCTTACCAGTGGTGGAGTCAGGATCCAAATCAGTTCTGTCTCAAAGCCTATTTTATAAATTTGCCCAAAGCCAGCTTTTGTTCAGGAAAAAGAGATTTCACAATTTTTCTCCTCCTCCATATTTTCCCCTCCTCCTTTTGTGTGTCATATGGTCCTTGGCTTCCAGGTCCTATAATTCCAGCTAATACCATTTATTCATTCAACAAGCTTTTTTGCACCCACTCTGTAAATTTTAGTATTCCCGTGTATATGGTGGGGCATCTGCATGAGGGGTACTTACCATCAGTGAGAAGCCATTCTCATTTTTACCCCTGGATAGAGTAGCTGTCAGCATTCCCAGGAGAGCTGATGGTTCTGACTGTCTGGCCCTTTCCTGGGTCTGGACCTGGGAGGGGTGCCCTCTCCCAGGAATAAGTGGCCTCTGGGGACAATGTAAGAATAGCATTTCTACCCTCTCAGCTAGGTGAGCCAAAACACCCTGAGGATGAATGGGTGACAAATGCCACAGTCAGGCCTCTCGCAGCACCTGGGCCATCTTCAAGTTAAGGCCTTCATGTCATTTGACTAGAATGTTCCTTGAAGGACTAGTTATCGGTAGAAATTGATGAGCGCTTTTTTGAATGTATGATGGAGCTGGGTTTATTTTAACATTTTCTTTTATCTGCACAGACTTTTCTTAAGCCTATTTTCTCTCACATCGTTCCTTGATGCATAACTAAGAAATTGGAAGGTACCCGGAGAGGGACCTTTATGAAAAATAGAAACTCAAATTAGGTATCCAGCTCACTGAAGAATCTGGATTATTAATGAATAACTTAGTAAGCACCAGACGGGAAGCTGAGGCTAGGAGACGCGGCTGGCAGAGAGAATACTGGAGTAGGTTTACAGTATCAGTTTAAATGGGCTTGTGTGAGACGGACTCTTTAACTAATTTCTATGGTAAAATATGTTCTGAGTTCCAAACAGTGGACTTAGCCAAAGCACTTGACTTAACACAAACCGCTTGAAAGTCAGTCCGCTTCATTGCCTAATTGTCCTTATTACTGATACTGAAGCGAACCAGTAGAAATATAGGAAGGGTTCTGAGCGGGGTGGGCGAATAGTAAGCATAGGACCAGGATTAACACCAGCGCTAAAGTTAGTACAGAGAAATGTACGACAAAAAGTGCAGAGAACTTTTGCAAGATGGCAAAAAAAATTAAGCTTTGAGCTTCTTGGTGCCCAGAGGAGAGTGAGGAACATGGTTAATTCTAAGATTCACAGTATCTGTATGGGACAGCCCATTTGTAAAGCAGAGGCTTTAAACCACTTCAAGGGGAGAGCTTCCGCTCTTGGAACAGGCTGGCGCAGCCTTGGGGAGGCACATGACAATCCCCACGGCCCCAGGGGCCACTCTGCACACCGTCCAGGCCTGCCTCTCTCTGGGCTCAGGTTTCTCTGTTCTATCCCGGTTCGGGCCGGCTGGCTCCCTGGTGCTCTGTCCTGCGCTCTCTTGGGTGGCACGAGGGCTGACTCCTGGCCTCCGTCTGCGTGGTTCTGGGCTCTCCCGTCAGCACCGGCCCACAGCTGTGCCTTGTTCTCACCCCCAACATCGGCAGGCCTCCGACCTGCTCAGGGCTGAGACTCGTCTCCACCTTCAAACCCAGGCTCGTCCTAAGGCTCAGAGCTCGACCTGGGACAGGCGTCCACAAGGGAGCAGTCGTCTGCCCTAAAACGGGGTCACCTGAGAGAAACATTATTCAACACTTTCCTTATGGATGCATTTGAGTAAACTCCTCTTAACGAAATTTGATGCATTTTCAATTGTTTTCTTTGATGACACTCGTTTATGTTTGTGATTTCTTCCTTCCAACCATAAGCGATTAAACTTGTGTGCTGGAAAACAATAAAGCTCATGCTGGGTGAGGACAGAGGCAAGGCCTCTAACTTGCGTCTGTGATTTGCCATATCTATGTTAAGGCGGGGATATGTTCTGCTCCACCCTTCTGCCCTGGAAGAGAAAAGAAAGAAGGAAGGAAAGATGTTCTGAGAGTTCAGAAATTGCATTGAATATGTGAGCATATGCTGTAATACTGGCAGAAAGATGGAAACATATTTGCCCCCGGATAGAGTAGCTGTCAGTGTTCCCAGGAAAGCTGATGGCTTTTGCCCATCAGGCCACATCCCAGGGTCTGGGCCCAGGAGGGTGTCCTCTCCCAGGAATGGGTGGCCTCAGCGGATGACGTAGTAAGGGATTCCCATCCTCTCACCAGGTGGATTTACACTGGTGGGAAAAATCTATTCATGTGTTCCGAAATATAAATGTAGAGTCAAACAGCAAGAAGGGGCCTAAAATTTCTGTACGTGTGCTCCTTGACATTAGGTATTCTGTGAAATTGAAATTTAGGCTGCTAACCATATTTTAAACCCATCTGTAAAGATTTATAAAGTTCATCTGATCTGATTATACTGAAGGTAAAACCCTGCTGAGCATCCGTCAGAATCCTTGTTAGTCCGAGCTGTGCTAGAGACCGAGAGCTAGCCTTCTTCACACGGCCTTCTTAGGAGGGAGGCGTCACTTCCGGGCTTGGCTGCTCCACGTAACTCTGCCTTGGCCCACTCTGGTGACAATGCAGTTTCCTCAGTGCTGGTGAGTTGGGCCTATTTCCTGGGCAGTCATGACCCCCAGGAAATGGAAAAGTCTTACACGCTGGGCATGGCAGGTGAGAAGCACCTGGCTCCCCTGACGGAGAGTACCATTGAGTGGTCCAGCCAAGGACACTCTCCTGGGACGTTGTCTCAGCATCTTCTACGTGAGAAACGTGCCCGGGCAGGGAACAAGGCACATGTGGATCTCTCCCCTGGCACAATGCTTAATATTATTCATACCAGAACTAAATCACTGAACTGAAAGTGGTGTCATTTACCTCTTATCAGTATATTCTTCCCCCTGTTTCCCTGCTGGGTGGAAAGTAGAACAACACTGTGTACAGTTGATAAGCCAACACTTTTATTCTTTTCTTGTTTATTCTTTTGGTGTTTCAAATTCTGCCAAAATCTACAGGAGAAAGTCACAGCTAATGGGTTTGTCTTTGACAGCACTCTATTTGAAGCCATTGATATCCTTTGGTTGAAAGACAGTGTTAGGATGGTACACAATCTATTTTCTCTCCCTTCAATATATGGAGTTACTGAGGCTATCTTCAAAGTAACGGTTCTCCAGAACTGGCAAATAGATTAGAAGTGCCTCTTGGCTCACTTCAAATATATGGGGAAAATACCCAGGGCCCTGGCGGTGAGTGCTGTGGAGAGCTGAGTGCCCAAGATGCATTGCTGATAATGCTCCCCATCCCCACCCCAAAGTCCTCAGGGGAGACTCCTGTCTCAGTGCTGGAGCCTCGAGGGGTCTTATGCACGAGAGAATCCACAGTTTCCCAACTCACATTGTTCTGTAAGCCTTCATGTCCTGACTGCTGGCTATCTGAACGAGAGAGCTCAGCTGGCAGTCACTCAAGCTGACTTCTGTTAAATGGCCCTAGGTATCCCTTCCTAACACAGCCTAAACCCTAAGCCAACGAGAATCAGAAGTGTGCAGGGAGCACAGCTTGTCTTGTGAGGAGCAGCCAAGAAAAGGCCAAATTAACAGATGAGTGAATGGCTCGTGTTCTCACAGAACACTGATGGAGCAGGAATATTTGGCCCGGCTCACAGCATAACTGTAATTAAATACTTGGGTGTTATTGCACATACACAGAAGACACAAAAGGCAGGTTGCCGCACCAGGCTTGTATTTGTGAAATCTGGCTTATGTCAGTTGAAACGGGCAGTGCAACATCATTAGTTAATTGTTTTGTTTGTTTTTTAATCACGTTATCTCAGAGAGTGGAGGTACTTTCCCCAAGACGCTGGACTGGACAGAGATGCAGAGCTGGTGCTACTTGCTGGTGAGCATTGGTGACTGCTGCCTCCCCGGGTCTTCCGGGCTCCATCCCATGCTGCTGGGCCACTGGCCATCTCCAGCATCAGCTCTGCCTCTGTCCTAGCCTGGGCTCACTGGGAGCGGTAGAGTCGAGTGCTATTAACCAGGCGAGCAAGAAGCCAGAATCAAATAGACCATAAAAGACTGCCTCTTTGTCAAGAAGTTCAGGTTTTAGCAGCTTCCAACCCAGAAGACTCTGATGTTTGCCATTCAACAGCCACATACCCAGCCCTCTCCTTCCTAAGGGAAGCCTGATTTTGTTCCTTTTCCTCCAAGCAGCCATGTGTTTAAGGGGAGGCTCAGCTTCTTCCCTGCCCCAAGGGGGAGCCTTGATTTGTCCATGTCACCTTCTCCACATGTGGACCCGCAGCATTAACAGCAGCCTGGGAACCTGTTAGAAATGCAAATTCTTAGCCCCCACTCCAGACCCACTGAATCCAAAATTCTGGGGAAAGGACTAGTAATCTGGATTAACAAGACTTCTAGGTGATTCTAACACCCACTCAAGTCTAAGAACCACTGGTCTAAGCCACACAAGGAGGCTCGTGCCCCTGGCCGCGTGGTTAGTTTAGGTGTGGGCATGCGACGCATTCCCAGGCAATGAGACAGGAGGGGAAACCGAGGCTTAAAAAAGAGACACAGGCACATACCTTCCCTTCACCCTGCCTCTGGACATCGATGTGTAAGGGTGCAATGCCTCCTGTAGCCAGTGAATTCATGATTTTTGTGTAACAAGAGGTGTTTATAAAGAGGTTTGACAAATAGTCGTCACTATTACTTTGAAAAACATAAAATGGTAAAAATAAAAAGCAAAGAGTGGCTAAATGTAGTTTACATGAAGCATTTGTTTGGCATATTCTGGCCAAGTGAAGACCTTGTTCTGCTGCCTGTCCTCAGCAGCCAGCCCAGACGGAGACACACTGATGTCACTTCAAGGTCAGGCCCTGGCCCAGGAATGAGGCCATTTGCTTCTTGCAGATCCCCTGCCGAATGCTGTGTCCCGAGGGGACCATTGTCGCTGGGGTGAAGACGGGCCCCAGCGTTGTCTTCGCAGCTGCTGGGCGGCCGTTGCCCAGACCGAGAGCGGTGCTTCCGGTCCAGGAACGTTTGCAACACCTCCCAGGCCGGCGTGAGGTCTCAGCGTGGGCTCTGCCCAAGGGCGTCCCAATATTTGATATTTAGATACACAGGCTCACCGCCGAAAGTGTGACGTTTTGTTTGGCCCTGTTTTGTTAACTGAGCCCTGAGCAGATGAAGCATAGCTGCTCAGAGCTGGGCGGGGGCTCGGCGTCCTTCCCTTAGCGGTTGGAGTTAATGGCGCACTGGTCGATCCGATTTCGTGCAGCCTCCTTTGCATCCTCCAGGCTGCTTTAACATCAAAATCCAAAGCAATTCCTGATTTGGCCTTTGGGGTTAGGTAACACAGCCTGTAAAGGAAGCCGACTGATTCTCCCTTTTCATTTTTAATCCCACTTGCCCTGGTAGAAGAGACACTGCGGGGAATGGCAGGACGCGGAGATTAATTAGCAGCGCCCTCTCTTTCCCTGCCGCCGGGGCTGTGTGGGTGACACCGGGCCCCCCTCTGCTCTCACGCTGATTTACGGAACATCCAGCCTATTAGTTGGAGGGCCTTTTAGCAATGTGGCCCATCGGCCCAGCACAGCTATTTATAGGCGACTTTGTTCCAACGAACCACTTTCATTCCGGCTCCTCCGTCTGGGGGGTATTGAACCATTTCCAGTGTCCAGGAGGGCGCTGCGAGCCAGATCTTATTTACAGTTTGAGGCGGCTAACATCATCTGCTTGAAGTGATTTACTGTGGCTCAAAGGGATGAACGCACTATGGATCTCACTGTCGCGGAAACACATGGGGCACAGACTGGAGGCAGCAAGATAGAGCTGCTGTGGATTGTAATGCTCAAAACGAAACCACAAAAAATATCTAACATTCACCCCAAGCAGATATGGCACCCCATAGAGTCCCTGTTACACCCAAAGAGAGTTAAGTAAGCTGGTATGTAAGATTCCCTATGATTTGACTCAACACCTCTTTTCAGCTCCATCTCCCTCTGACGTCGTCTTTCATCGTCCCATCCAGCTGCACCACACTGCCCCTCTGGTCTACATTTGCCAAGACTTCATGCACCCATGTCTCTGTTCCCTAAAGGTGTCCTTGTCTTATCTGTATAACTGTGGGCTCCTGGGACTTCTAACAATATCTTGCTCATTTTCCAAAGTCCAGAGCTAGCATCACCTCCTCCATGCAGCCATCTCTGATTTCCCCCACAGGTAGAATGAATCTCAGCTTGACGTGCCCCACCCGCCAAATTTCCTGAGCTTCTCTGAGCATGTATTTCATTCTGCCCTGTGTTGTGGTTAGCTGTTCACATTTCTGTCTATCTCATCAGAATTTAAGCTGCTTAAGGGAAAGATGGATCTTGTCTATATTTGAATCTTCCTTCTGTTCCTGGCCCCTAGAACAGTGCCGAGCATGTGGGAGATGTTCAGTCAATATTTGTTTAATAAGTGAGAGACTCATGCGATTTCTCTCCCACATCAGATTCTCCCTGGAAAAAAAGCAGCCTTAGTCGGCCTGCTGAGTTTGAAGGATTTCAGTGAATTTGTGTCTTTAGGTTTTAGTGGATTAATTTTAAATTAAAAAATGAAAAAGCTTTATGTTTTCAGAACCATTGTACTCCTGTTTTAATCTAAAATGCAAGGCACTGCTCTCAGAAACCTGGCCTTTCTTTTCCATAATATTTTTCACTTCCGACTTTTGAAACATAATATTTCTCCACGTTTTGATTAAAATTAGATATTTGACTGAAGGAATGGAAGCATTCTATTCCAAAGTCTCTTCGGAAGTGCCTGAAGGCGGTGCAGCCCGGCCTTTACGGCTGGTGCGGCTCAACAGATCAGTCCAGCCTGTCCAGGGTCACTGTGCCCTTAACAGAGGAGCGGTGGCCCCCAGGCAGGCAGGGCAGGCTGGTCCCGCCAGTGAGTGGGTGCTCACTGTCTGAGCGGGCGTCGTCTTCTCTTTTATGCCAAAAGCAGCACTGGATCAGCCTATTGCAAGAAAGACGAACTGGCGGCCCACGTTGTATTGAGATGTTTTTGCCTACTTGAGGGAAAATGGACCTGAACTACTGTTTTCCCCCAGGTGTGTGTTGAACAGTTTCCATTTACCCTTCCAGGTCTATACCCTACCCTTTTCTACCCTGCTTTGAGCCCTCAGGAGGCTGTTCTGTGTTCCTGTGGCCTCTGGCTTCCAGTTGAGTTCAGCCAATTGGCAAGAGATGGTGTTGGGGGGGTGGTATTTATTCCCAGAGCTCCTTCCCTGGGGGCTGCCCATATCCCTCCACTGAGGCTCACAGTTTCTGTAGATGGCCCTCGCTCAGCCCTCTCTGTCTCTGGGTTCTGGTAGCCATTCCTTCCAATGTCCCTTCAGGCCTAGAGGTGGTAACAGACCCAGCTGTTATTAGACCTGAGGCATCGTGAGTTAGGGATATCCTCCCTGTAAGGGACACCCCGTTACACCTTGTCAACATCTCTCCTCGGATGACCCAGGAGTGTACTCTCCTTTTCCTGCCAGGACCTAACCGAATCACCATGCCATATCAGACGAGCCTGGGGGTCCCAGATTTGGTTTTATTGTTCAATCTTGTTCACTTGTAAAATCTGGTGCCCAAAGCCTTGGTGGGACAAGCATTGGGTAGTAGGTGAGGGAAGGAGCCGAATGTATGAGGCCCCCTGCTTGGTAACTTCCTTTATCAACAATAAAAATCCAAACAAAACAATTGAAAGAGAATTAAAAAGAAAACAAGGAATTGTAGAAACCTGAAATTGGAAAAGACTTTGGCAATAGCTTGGGGAGGGATCTGGTCCATGCCAGAGCTGCATTCTGAGGACAGCTTCCACATCTACAACATTGTTGCATACAAAAGAAGTGTAAAGCTCTGATGTCTCTTCCTCTTCTTATGAGGACACTAAGTCCATCGTGGGGCCCCATCCTCATGACCTTGTCTAAGCCTAAGTCCCTCCCAAAGGCCACACCTCCTAAGACCATCACACCGGGGGTTAGAGCTTCAACATAGGAATTTGAGGGGAGACACAAATATTCAGTTCATAACGGGGCCTGACACAAAGACAGCCTTTCATGGTGGCCAAGTGTGAGAGCCATAGTTTACTTGGGTATATCACGTGCACGGTGACTGGCTGGTGCAGTCAAGGTCTTTTCCTTGGGGAATTTGAATAGGAAGTGTGCAATTAGTCAGTCTGTAGTCCCAGAAGCAGTGGAGGCAGACACCAAGTAGCTGAGTCACAGTAACATGGTGGATAAAGACGAGAATAGGAAAGGGCAGACACCACCTGCTGGAGGAGGCCACGAGGAGATGGGGCCACTAGAGAATAGGGTCTACCTAAAGACCTTCCAGTTCATTCTCAAGCAGGTTCTTTCCTTGTAATGGCCCTAGGTGACTTTAGGTTTAACTTGCTACAAGTCCAGAAGAAAGAGAGTTTCTCTTTTCCAATAAAAGTCCCAGGATTGAGCAATATTGAACTGACTGGGGTCACATCACCATCCTGGGTCCGTCACTGTGACCTGGTGATGGAACTCTCACATTGACTGCACTGGTCCCACACCAGGAGCCTGGGATGGGGTCTATCCTGCTTGAAAATAGGATGCTGCTATCAGAAGAAGGGAGAAGAAATGTTGGACATGCCAAAAGAACAAACCATGTCATCTAAGCACTTGTCGGTTCCTTATCACCTGAAAGAGGTCATCAAATGCAACTACTGTTCTGGGAAGTAAATCCTCTCTCTTCTCCATTATGTACTGACCTCTGGTCCTGTGGCCACAGTTTGAGTACTTGCACTGACAGGATGCTTACCCGTTCTCCAGCTGGGCAGCCTGATGTGCTGTGGAACAGCCCACATTGTCACTAAGTCCCTCTTTACAATGCCCCCAACCTGCCTGCTGCCAGCTCCCCTTGGTCGTTTCTATCCTATGTAACGACACTCCCAACATCCTCCCTCCATGTGACGGCCTTTTGAATTTCAGAAGACAGTTAACAATTAAGAATGATTACAGGGAAATTAAAATCAGGCAATCATTTGCTGAAAGGATCACATTTTCTCATTTACCTATGTATAACGTTAAGTAACTCCTACTCAATTAAAGGAAAAAGCTCCAAGCCAAAAGCATTAGGAATCCAGATATGCTCTCTCCCCTTCCCCCACATGAAAGCTTTTCTAACAAACAACCATATTGCTATAAATACCGAGCCGTGCTGTGGAGTGAGCAAGCCCTGGGCCTGAATAACAGTGTTGGCTGTGGACCGGCGAGCCCCTCTCCGGACAGGGAGCACAACAGCAGTTCACACAGACGAGCCACTCTGACTAGCAGGGAAATGGAGTGACTAAGCTTCCAATTGATTTTTGTTTAATGATCTCTCACTTTAAAATGTCACTTAAGGAGTTACAAATGGGTTAATTGATCTGTAAATGAACCTAGAAACACCTGGGGTTTAAACCGAAGCACTGCTCTTGGGCCTTGGGATCCGGTGACTCAGGGCGCTTACTGCACAAGTAAACCCTTTCATCTCCCTGGCAGCGCCTCCTGCGGCTCAGGGCTTTGCCTGATGTTCAAAGTGAGAAGATTCCAGTGACAAGAAGTTGGTGCCCGAGCCGTTATCTCTGGGCAACTTGTCCTTCTGCTCAGACCCCCTTAAGAAGGCCTGAGTCACCCTCCAGAGGACAGAGACAAGGAGACTTCCTAATCGAAGAAAGGGGGGTCCCTTTAAACCCAGAAGAGTTGGCTACTGGGGGCCACGGAATGCTCCTCCCGGCAAGTAAGGCTGGGAGGCTTGAGGGCAGAGGAGACTGATTAGACCCCCAGCTCGCCTGGAGCCCTCCAATCCTGCAAAGGTCCGTCAGTGGTTGGAAAAGGGAGATTTTAGCGACTGTCCTCCTCTGGTTCTCAAGCCCCTAGTCCTGCTGAGGGCAGGAAGAAGCCATAACTTGCCGCTCAAGGTAACTCATCCATTTCCTGAACAGGAGTTTGGGTAAACATTCCAGTTGGTTCAAAGTTCCAGCTCCCTGTCGGAGCTGATCGTCATGCCAGTCTCAGGTTCCAGTTGCTCTCCTCTGAGTTGTCCCTCGCCCCCCTGGTGCCTGTGTGTTCCAAAGCCGTCCTGCCTGGTTTTGGGGCATTCTGCTGCACCCAGAATCTTGGACTGCAAACCTCGCGCTGCACCTCCCGCATGCCCTGGAGGCCTGCGGAGCCTTGGCTGCCTTGCTGCCTTGTTCCGCAGTGTGGGAGACCCGCGTGACCCAGTGCCGCGCCCGGGTGGATCCTCTTTGGGATGCCTTGGACTCTCCCTCAACCTAGTTAGGGTTTCCAGTACCTCAGGCCTGTGACGGAGGAAGCACAGTCCCTTCTGGGGAACCTCACAGCAACTAAACTCATTGTTCTTCCCGAGCCTGTCTTCATACTCCTCTCACAGACTTCCCAGCCCTCTGACCTCTGTCTACTGTGGTTTATAATAAATTTTACGTTCAGACCTCCAATCTCTGCCTCTGATACAAGAAGGGAAGTCTGGGGCTTAAAAAAAAACCTCCGGTCTCAGCAAAGTCATGCTTCGTTTGGTTTTGTTTTTTAACAGTTTTATTGAGATATAATTTATATACCATAAAATTCACCAAAATAAATGTATAACCCAAAGATTTTAGTAAATTTATAGAATTGTACAACCATAATCGAAATTCGGTTTTAGAACATTTCCATAACCTCAAAAGATTTCCCCCTGTCTGTTTGTAGTTAAATCCTTGTTCCCATTGCCAGTCCCAGGCAACCAGTGATCTGTTTTGTCTCCATAAATGCGCCTTTCCAGACCCGTCATAAAGATAGGATTGTGTAATGTGTGGCCTTTGGTCCAGTTTCTTTCACATAGCCTGATGTTTCTGAGGCTGATGCATGTTGTTGTGTGTATCAGTAGTCCATCATTTTAATTGCTGGATAGAATCACTGAAATATAACACATTTTGTTTATCCCCTTACCGTTTGATGGACATAGGGATGATTTTCTGGTTTTAGTTATTATGAATAATGCTCTTATGAACATTCTTTACACGTCTTTATGTAGCCATGCGTTTTCATACCTAGAAATGGAAGTCCTTGGTTATATGGTAAATTAGTGCCTAACTTTTTAAGAAACTACCAAACTATTTTCCTTAGTGGCTGTACCGTTTGACCTTCTCACCCCCAGCACATGAGGCTTCCAGTTTCTCCACACCATCACAAACTCTTGCTATTAAATGGCTTTTTAAAAAACTATAGCCATTCTGGTGGGAGTATAGGAGTGTCTCACTGTGGTTTTTTGTGCAGTTCCTTAATGACTAATGAGACGGGTCTCCTTTCCATGTGCTTGTTAGCCATTCGTACATCTGCCTATTTCACTTGGTGAATTGTCTATTAACATCTATCATCCATTTTTTAAAAATTGGGCTGTATATCTTTTTTTTAGTTATTAGCATTCTTTATGTATTCTGTATACAAGTCCTTTACCAACTATACGATTCATAAATTTTCAAACCAGTCTATGGCTTATCTATACATTACTTAATGATTTATTTTTAAGTGAAATGATTTTCGTCTTTATCTTTATTTTTTTAAAGATTGGCACCTGAGCTAACATCTGTTGCCAATCTTTTTTTTTCTTCTTATTCTCCCCAAAGCCCCCCAGTACATAGCTGTATATTTTGGTTTTGGGTCCTTCTAGTTGTGGCGTGTGGGATGCCGCCTCAGCATGGCCTGATGAGCGGTGCTAGGTCGGTGACCCAGGACCCAAACCAGTGAAACCCTGGGCCGCCAAAGTGGAGCGTGTGAACTTAACCACTCGGCCACAGGGCCAGCCCCAAGATTTTCATTTTTAGAAAGTCTCATTTATCATTCTTTTTTTCCTTATGGATTGTACTTTTGGTGTCATATCTTTGCCAAACTCAAGTTCATAAAGATTTCTCCTATGTTATCTTTTGGATATTTTAGCGTTTTAACTCTTAAATTTAGATCTATGATCCATTTTGAGTTGATCTTTCTTATGTAGGATGTGAGGTAAGGGTCTAAGTTCCTTTTTTGTTTTTGTTTTCTGCTTGTGGCTATCCAGTTGTACTAGCACCGTTTTTGGCAACTATCCCCCCTCCAGTTGAATTGTTTTGGACACCATTGTTGAAAATCAGTAGACCAGAAATGTAAGGACTTATTTCTAAACTCGGTTCTCTTTCATTACTCTACACGCCTATCCTTTGCCAATATCACACTCTCTTGATTACTATAGCTTTACAGTAAGTTTTGAAATCAGACAGTATAAGTCCTCTCACATAGCTCTTCTTTTTCAAAATTGTTTTGGTTAAGTTTTTTGCATTTCCATATAAATTTTAGAATCAGCTTGCCAATTTTTACAAAAAAACCTATTGAGATCTTGATAAAGATTGTATTGAATTTCTAGATTAATTTAGGGAGAATTGCCATCTTGACAATATTGACTATTCCAATCTGTGAACAGAAATGTTATTCAGATCTTTAATTTCTCAGCAGTGTTTTGTAGTATTCAGTATACAAGACTTACACTTCTTTTGTTAAATTTATTCCTAGGTATTTTATTCTCTTTGATGTTGCAAATAAATTTGTTTTCTTAATTTTGCATTGTTCATTGCTAGTATATAGAAATATAATTGAATTTTGTATATCGATCTTATATTCTGCGACCTTGCGATATTCATTTAGTAGTTCCAGTAAACTTTTACTTTTTTGTTGATTGCCTTCTTTTCTGTTAAATATTTTAATTCCTTTGTTGATTTTTAAAAGTGATTTCTTTGAGTTATTTTCTTCTGATTTCTCTAATGATTACAGTAACTAATTTATCACAATCTACTTTAGAATAAAATTAACTTATTTCTGTTAAAATGCAGAAAGTTTGTCCAAGTATAGTTCCATGTTCCATTCATTCCCCATCCTTTGTCCTGTTATATATATATACATATACATATATATCTTTATATTTTATAATCCCAACAACATAGTGTTAAGAATATTGATTTATGCAGTGTTATATCTTTTAATACTAAATCAAATACTTCAATATTTTCAGAATTATCCTTCCATTTTAGAGACTGGTCCACTTTGACCATTTTGCTGAATCGATCCCCTGACGACTGTCTTAAATCGACCCGATTCCAAGCTTCCTCTTTAATGGGAAGAGCTCATTCCTTTTGGATTTAATGTCCTTCCCTGCTCCTTGACTTCATCCTGAGTCCTAGGACTGGAATCCTCTGTTCTCATAACTGAGTCTGGAACTCAAGTTCCAACTGAATCTTGAGCTGCTCTAGTCCTGGACACATAATGCTATGACTACCAGATTCCGGTATGTACCTCTGCTGACATAATGTTTCAAGCTTTTATCAAAAAGAAAGGTATCCATTAAAAAACTTGGGGGTACTCTTGATTAGGAAAATGGTAAAAATAATAACCAACCAACCAAACATTTCTTGGGGTTTTGTCACTGCCTAGCTATTTCCTCCGTAGCTTGCACACCTCACAGCTTCCCTCCTTCTTGTGTCATGGCTGCTTCTACCTCCCAAGTAGTCCATGTGCACAAACATAGGAAGGAGAAGGCCATTTGAAGGTGGAGTCAGAGACTGGAGTGACGCAGTCACAAGGAATACAGATGGCCACCAGGGCTGGAAAAGGCAGGGACTAAATTGTGCCCTAGAGCCTTTGGCAGGAGCACAGCTCTACTGACCCTTGATTTCAGACTGCTGGCCTCCAGATTTGTGAGAGAATACATTTCTGTTGTTTTAAGCCACAAGTTTGCAATCATGTGTGATGATAGCACTAGGAAACTGACAAACTGACCTTTTCCCCAAACTGACCAACCACCTCCCCATGGGGTTCAGTCAGCAGACTATGCTCAAGCTTTGTGCTTCTCTGCTGAACTTTCCCTACATTTGATTTTAGCTAAAATTCTTTTTCTTTTCCCAGTCCCCTCCTCATTCCTACTCCTCTGCCAATATTTCCCAACATCTACCAGAAATACTACATTGCATTACTCCCATCTCTCATTTCATCACCATGGAACTATGTAAAAATAGGTAGGAGGGAGGGCAAGGGGTCAATGCACAATACTGGGGACAAAGCGCAATGATGAGAGATGTCTCAGATATTCAACGTACTGATTCAATTTCTACGTAGCAGATTTCCACCCAGTTCTGGCACTATCCCACAGGTTGGTCATTTATTCAGTCAACAGGAATTAATAAAGCACCTCTCTGCACACCTGTTTGATGACTGAGACATGTCATTTTCTCCTAAGGAACTCAGCACATAAGAATTTGATTGACTATGGACTTACATAGTTCTCTTCCTTTTAGCAGATGCCAGCTCTAGGGAGGGTCAACCAGGTTTAGCTTGGTAGAATTCATGGTCACTATTACCAAAAATTCATTTAATGTCCCATGTTGAATTGTTGCTGTCCTTATCAAGTCAGATCACTCCTTTCCTGCCTCGCCAGCAAGAAGCCATATCAGATCTACAGAAAAATAAATGAATGGTGATTTGGTTTGCTAAATTCTTCTCCACATCAGTCAGCAAAGCTTAACGGTCACATCCTGGATAATCTGCTCCTGGATACTTGTTTGTTGAAAAGAAAGCTGAGTTGGCTTAGTGACATTTATCCCATTGTCCTGGGCGCTGTGCAGGGTCTTCCCTCCATGATAAGTACACCTACAGGCTCCTCATTGCTGCAAGCATCATTTCTTTTTTTCTAGGTAACACTTTTTTTGTTCTATAATCAAAAGTAATGTGTACTCACAGCAGAAAATCATATACTATCAAAACAAAGGAAATAAAAATTACCTAGAGTTCCACCACCCACAGGTAACTACTGATAATATTTGGGTATATCCAGTATACCCAATATATTTGGGTATATCCCTTTGTTTCTCTGCAGAGATAGATAATTTTTGCTTTTGTCAAAGTAGGCTCATACTGTACATATTATTTTGTGAACTCTTTTTTCAGCTCATGGTGCATTGTGGACGTTTCTCATCATCATTCTATTAGAACTGGCAGTAAGAAGTGTCATTCTTCTATCAGCAGCCTTTGCCTCATGGCTGGCTGATTCCAGCACACTCCTACTGGTCTTCCTGAGTCTCTTACCTCCAGGCCACTCTGTTGGCTTCCAGATAAGTCTTCCAAAAATACTGCTTACACTCCTCACCCCAGGCCAGAATCCTTGATGAACTTTCCATCTTGAACCTCCCTCAACTGCCCCGAGAAGGGCATCTTCAGCCAGACTTTTGTTCCAGGCTGTCCTCAGCAGACGCCAGTTGGTTTATGTATAATTGTTTTGTATCGTTTCTTATGGAAATTCTTTTTTCAAATAAAGCTCCATCCAAATTGGTTTTTTTCATTATTCCCCAACAGGCCCCTCAACCTCCACATCTTTGCTGAAGATGCTTCCCCTTGGGTGTAGCCTCCTCCCCCACCCTCTTTCATTGCCTGAGTTCTTCCCTGTCCTAATGCCCAGATCTTC